GTGTGTGTGTGTGTGTGTGTACGTGCACACACAAATGCATATATATATATACGCATATACATATCCATATAAACACGTACACACACGCACACACACATATAAGCGTACCCTATATTTCAAAAAACATCTATTAATCTACCAATTTCTATGCATAACGATCTAGTGTAATGCATGTAGCACAACTGTAATGACCGGGCATCTGTTCTAGCCTCCATCATGATCAGCAAAAAAAAATCAGCAAAAAAAAAAAAAAAAAAAAAAAAAAAAAAAAAAAAAAAAAAACAGGAATCTAGAGCGCGTTCAAGTATCCATATAACATAACGAACGTGTTTCTTGGCTTTCAGTAACGATGGTCCTTACGTCACGCGAACGCACGTGTGACGTTAGTGTGACAGGTATTAAGAAGGGCGAAGGACGGTCGCTCCTTTGGCATTTGTTGGGCATTTTATATTGTGCAAAGTATGCCGTCTCGATTTTCATCAACGATTAGTGATGTAAACGATCTCGCTTTGGAGCCAGACTCGTGCAAGATATTTTTATCTATTTATTTATTTTTATTTATCTATTCATTTATTTAGCGTTGCAAGAGCCCCCATCCCTACACACACATGTAGGAAAAAGCAATAAATGTGAAATTAATGGGTGATAAAGATAATGATGAGAATGTTAACGAGAATGTTTGAATTTGAAATATTCAAATTCAAAATATCTTATTCCATTTCTTACAACGGTTATTCTTCATAACGATAAATAAATAGTTGTGGATATTGATATCTATAAATATAGTTATGATAATAAGATATGATCATGGTGGAATTACCACTGAATAGATAAATGGACATCTATTATCCTTTTGTTACAGATTTCAGTGATACTTCGAGTTACTCAGTGTGTGTGTAATAATAGAACGAGCGAAAAAAAGTGGGCGGGGCCTCCGTAACACTATCCGGATATAAGACGAGCCCTAAGTGTTGCGGGATTTAAAAAGTCAGCTCTTAATTACCGGTTGTGATATGGAATTTTTTTATTATTATTTTATTAAGCTTGGGTATGTAACCTAAATATATTTACTCATGAATATCAACAGTTTTATGAATACGATTGTGGAATGAGGCCTCGTATTTTACTCATCGCAGATAGAATATTTGATGGTCGATTTCACTTGAGGTATGGAACGATTGGCTATGACGTCATCCCAACGTGACATCGCGCGGAAACGGGTATGACGTCACGGAGTCAGTTGAGGTGCCAAAAGCGCGCTCAATTTTGCCAGCTAGGATGGAAGATCGGTTTACGCATGACAGTCAGGACTTATGCGACAGAAATGACGTTTATAACTGGAAGAAAGAAATTCAATGTATTTATAAGTGTCCTTTCAAGGTTTATCCAGGCTCTCTTGAGATGAATATCAAATAGAAAATCACATAGAAAATAAAAAATAGAAAATAGGTTACCATTATACCTGCAAAGATTTGTCGAAAGAGACATTACGAACAATGCATCAATTCTATTCATTATGGTGATAATAACAGTTATACTTCTTAATGATGGCAAGAATAACTATTCTACTTATTATAGTGATGATAACAATAACCATTAAGATTGTTATTGCAATTCTAATATAGCCAACGACTTAGTGGTGATAATCACTTTGATGAAGATATGATGAAGAAGAGATAGCATACATATAAAGTAACGAACATACGAAACTTTACAAACTAAAAATATATATATTTTTTAAAGCTAGACTGTTCAACCATTGTAAAGAGAAGAGGGGATGGGACAGAGACAGAAAAAGAGGGGAGATGAACACGCCGAAAGAATAAAAGCGTAAATGAGAAACGGAAAGAAAAAAAATAGAGGATAAAAAAGGCAAGGGCAAATGAAAGCGAAATGGGGAAATAGACACTATAATAACAGAATAAGGAAGAGGGAAAACGAAAAAAGGGAACAGAGGGGAAATGAGAATTGTAGGAAGAATGAGGGGAGGCACCGAAGCATGGAAAGTGAAATATCAAGAGGAAGAGTGGAGGAGAAGGGAGGTGAAAGAGGAGAGAAGGAGAAGAGTGAGGGAGGGTCGTGGAGGAGGGAAATGGGAAAGAAGTGAGAAGGAGGGGAAATTGTCAGTGAAAGGAAGAGAGAGTAAAGAGATGAGAAGAAGAAGAAAATGAAAGGGAAGTTAAGGAGGAGAGTATGTATATATATATATATATATATATATATATATATATATATATATATATATATATATATATAATATATATATATGTGTGTATGTGTGTGTGTGTGTGTGTGTGTGTGTGTTGTGTGTGTGTGTGTGTGTGTGTGTGTGTGTGTGTGTGTGTGTAGTTTGTTATTTCCTCGTATCCTTCCATCATATCTCCTTGTATATCTCTAACCTACATGTTTTATTTCATATTTACTTCCTCTTTACTCCCCTCTCCCCCCCTCCCTCCTCTACCCCCCCCCCTTTTATAATCTTGTGGATGAATGGACTTGCTTCAAAGGGTCTATATATAGCTCGTGAGTTTCCGCGTATTCATGTTGAAATATTCATATCGAAACCTGGAGAGAGAGAAGAACAGGGGAGAAGGGGGAGGAGGGAGAGAAAGAGAGGGTGAGGGAGAAGAGAGGGAAGAGAGAGGGAAGAAGAGAGAGAGAAGGGAAAGAGAGAGGGAGAGGAGAGAGAGGGAGAGAAGAGAGAGAGAGAAGAGGGAGAGGGAAGAGAGAGGAGAGGAGAGAGGAGAGAGGGAGAGGGAGAGGGAAAGAGAGAGGAGAGAGAGAGAGAGAGAGAGAGAGAGAGAGAGAGAATTAGACAAGAGTTTTTATGTAATATTTCACTATTTCTGTTTCATATACTACAAGTTATTCTACGTTTCCGCATACATCTTGCATTTATTTATTTGTATATGTCAAATTAATAAATATATTTTTAATATAAACTTACTACATGTTCAGCTAAGCAAATGGAGAATCTCATAACTATATAGACCTTTTTAAAAACGTTCACATTAAAACGATAGCTAAGCAAATGATGATTTTAAGACTATATACCTTTTTAAAAACCTTTACTTTCAAGCGATAGCTGAGCAAATGGGAACTTTAAAACTATATTGACCCCCCCCCCCCCAAAAAAAAAAAATAATAATAAAATAAAAATAAAATCGATAGCGAAGTAAATGAAAATTTTCAATACAGATTTTCTTTTAAAACTTTCACATGTTGGCGATAGTCTCTACAAATAGCCATAATTCAACTCTCGAAAAATAATAAATAAATAACATTTTGTTATTTACGACTATATACATCATTATAAATATTTATTATTAAGTTATTGTTATTGATTAATGCATGCGGTGTCTACGGGACTCACCCCCGTTTTCAAAGCAGAAACCCAGAGTTCTCAGAAGCGATTCTCTACCTCGAACTTTGCATTGTCTTCGTGCCTTCACGTGCATACAAACGTGCAGGGGCTTATTCCCCCCCCCCTTCTTCCCCTCCTTATCTTCTTTCTTCTTTCCTTTCCCACCTGCCCCTATATCAACGCCTCTTGGGAAGTGTCACCCGCAGGCAGCTGAGACGAAGACGAACATCCAGCGAAGAGATCGCGCAAAAGTTCATTTCCTGGTTTGGGTTCTATTTCGGTGGCGCGATCGCCTCGGATGCGTGAGGTTGGGGCAGGTCAGGCGACGTGAGGAGGTGCAGGAGGGCCGAAAAGACATGCCTGAGATGATGGAGTCTTGGTTTTGGCAGCCGCTGTGACGAGGGGATAGAGAGAGGGAAGGCATAGTTGTTGCTGCATTACGCCGAGTGCCCTGGGAGATGAAAGAGACGGCTTTCTCGCTGCGCCTCGTGTAGGACAGGTGGACTTCAAAACTGCAAATTCGTCTTTCAATTATCCCTTTTTTTGCGTGGTATTTTCTGAAATTTTATCTAATGTCTGTCATTCCTATGGTACGACACAGAGAGGCTATTACGCCATGTATTCTGGTTTAAAAGAGGAACTTATGGTAACGAAGCGCTTAGTCTGACACACAAAATGCTAGAGAAGTGCCGTAAGGTTTATCGTCCGGACAAAACAGCGGGAGACACGACGCTAAGACCACAAGCATTTGACATTGCTTAAAAAAAGCGTAACAAAAGGCTTTTGCATATTTTCTGTTGTTTATGATGATAAGCTTGGAATCGTATAGCTGCCACTTTTAGAGGTATTTAATGCATTGCATTTGCTTCTGATGATAATGATAATAGAGTTTATTATATGCGACTATTGTAGTAATCATTGTAGTTATCATTATAATCATTTTTATCATTCTTATTATCATCCTTATAATTCATATGTTATATATATCATTATCATCATCATCATCATCATCATCATCAATCATCGTCGTCGTCAGTCATCATCATCATCATCATCATCATTCATCATCAATCATCATCATATCATCATCATCCATCACCATCGGACATCAGTCATTCTATCGACATCACCACCAACCACCACCACCACCACGCCACCGTAAAAACAACCACCGCCACCAACACCACCACCTACCACCACCCAACACCAAGGCAACCACCGACCACACCAATGAAGATACGTGAAAGAATGATCACTTATTACTAAAGACTTACTTA